ATGTCGGCAATGTCAGGATGTGCAGTGTCCTCACCATAGATAGACTGCATCATCCGTTTTGACTGTTCAAAGTAGCTGATCGCCTTGCTGTGATCACCAAGGTTGCTCCAGGCGGTACCCAGATTGCTGAGTGTATTGGCAATGCCAGGATGTTCCTCACCATAGATACTCCTCTCCATCTGTAGTGACTGTTCATAGTAGCTGATCGCCTTTCTGTAATCACCAAGGTCATCCCAAGTGACACCCAAGTTGTTAAGTGAGCTCGCAATGTCAGGATTTGCAGTGTCCTCACCATATATATCCTGTCTCATCTGTAGTGCCTGTTCATAATAACTGATCGCGTTTCTGTGATTACCAAGATCACTCCAGACGGTACCCAAGTCGTTAAGTGACTCGGCAATGTCAGGATGTACAGTGTCCTCACCATAGATAGTCCTCCTCATCTGTAGTGCCTGTTCCTGATACGTCATTGCCTTTCTGTAATCACTAAGGAATACCCAGGTGGCACCCAAAGTGTTAAGTGAGGAAGCAATGTCAGGATGTTTAGTGTCCTCACCATAGATTCTCCGCTCCATCTGTAGTGACTGTTCATAGTAGCTGATTGACTTTCTGTAATCGCCAAGGTTTCTCCATGCGCTACCCAAGCAGCTAAGTGATCGAACAATGTCAGGATGGGCAGTGTCCTCACCATAGAAACTCCGCACCATCTGTAGTGACTGTTCATAATAACTGATCGCCTTCCTGTAATCACCAAGGTCACCCCAGACGGCACCCAAGTTGCTAAGTGTGGAGGCTATGTCAGGATGTACAGTGTCCTCGCCATGGATACTCGTCCTCATCTGTAGTGACTGTTCATAATAACTAATCGCCTTTACTGTGATCAACAAGCTTCATCCATCCATTACCCACGTTGTTAAGTAGTCAGCAATATTAGGATTTGCAGTGTCCTCACCGTATAAACTCCTCGTCATCTGTAGTGACTGTTCATAATAGCTGATCGCCTTTCTGTAGTCACCAAGACCATTCCAGGCGGCACCCAAGTTGTTAAGGGAGCTCGCAATCTTTAGGTGTTCAGTGTCCTCGCCATAGAGTATCCGCCTCATATGCAGTGACTGTTCAAAATAGTTTATTGCTTTCGTGTTGTCACCAAGTTTGGTCCAAGCTAGACCCAAACGTTGAAGTGAGGAGGCAGTGTCAGAATGAGCAGTATCTTTGCCATGTTTTGATAGATCGTTCTGAAGTATTTGCTCTCTGCATGTCAGCGAGTTTTGGTAATCACACAGACTGTCATATACCTCTGCTTTTAGTTCAGGAGAACTGTCGAACAGGATTGGTGGTGCTTCTAATGGCTGACTGCCAGACAACTGTGACATAAAGTCCTTTAACGGTCTTGCTGTGTAATAGTATCTCATGAGCTGTTTCTTATTTGAGAAGTAAAACACTTTCTTCAATTTCACCCCAATGTCTGTATCTGTGGACATTGAGGATAAGGCTGACATGTTTTCCACCTGGCCACCATTGCTCATGTATGTCCTCAGCCTCAGTTCTGCTGAGATACTGACCATCACCATAAGATGATGCGCATTCTCTCTATTGACGAACTGACAATTTGTCAACTCCTGAATGGTCTCCCAGATTGTGGTCGGTTGTATGTTATGAAGCAGCGCCAAGCAGGACATTGCAAGGCTTGAAAATCGATACATTTCTTTCTTCACATTCAACAGACTGCCAGTTAGATGCTTGACTTCAAACATGTTTGCATTCTCAGTCAGATCAATCTTTGCCATTTCCAAAGGAATCCCCCCGTTATCTTTCTGATATTGCTCAGTACACAGAGACAAGTACTCATCCACCAAACCCTGATCTCCTGCCATCAACGACACATTTCCCAGTATACTAGCAAGATGGTAGCCTTTCTTCAAGTAGACCCCAAAGTCATCTTTAAGAACTTTGGTCATATTACTTGGTGTGTGGATGAGTTCACTTGTTCCTGCACTGGTTTTACCCCTGCCTATCGGTGTCTTACATGCATGAGGCATGGCTCCATCGAACGCAAACCCACGCGGTGTAACGGAGTCATAGTACCAGTTGTCTAGCGGATCATCTGAGTAGAAATTATTTAGAGACTTAATCCCCAGGGCCGGGAGGATGGTTTCTCCCAGATTGATGACTTTGAGATGCAGGTAATGAGTGAGGTTACGGAAATACTGAGCATTCTGCTCGGTTTTCTCTTCGACCAAGATAGCAAATTCCAGATCAGAGAATGGGGTTACCAATCCTGTGGCCTGTGAACCCAAACCTACCATAGCATACTTACAGAGAGGGGGGCCCATTACCTCTATACATTCATCTACAAGGCCGGCTATGAACATTTGTCGCTGATGAGCAATTGTCTGAAACAATGTTTTGATTGCGTCCACTCTCTTCTCCTCAACTTCCCTTAACTCAGGGTTGTCATCTTCAAGGTTATAAGGATCTACTTCTTTATCAATCCTTACAATCTCTCCTTCTGCATAGTCACGGTCCTTCTTTAGCATAAATTTGTGTTTCTCTCTATCATCAATTTCTACCGTCTGTTCGACATTCAGGACATGTTCAACAAATGACTTGGTTATGTCCTGGATTGTCCTTTCTATATCGTCTCTTCTTGATCTTACCAGTGCTGCATTACAGAGAGCTGCAGCTTTGGTGAAGTCACCACCGTCTTTAGACTGGATTCCTCTCTTCAAGTAGACATCGCTCAGCTTGTACAGGGGCTCTGCCTCGTTCTTGTGTTCACCTATAGAAACGTAAGCTGTGATATCATATACCCTAAACGTTTGAACTATGGGCTTAATGCATTATTCAAAATACATCTGTTCCTGTCATTTTGCGTACCATAGTAATTAGCTATGGACTATGTTGCTAATTTTAGCAAGAGGCATAAAGGTTGGTGTTTCCATTTTTCACAATACAGATGTTCTTTGGTATTTTGTTTGCAATATTACTTGAGTTTTCAGTCGGAGGACTTACTTGAGAATGTCAGCAGTACCCCTTTAGACACCTGGGTTTACTTCCTACAGAGACTTACCTTTGACATGAACAGACTTGAGCGCAGCTGCAAAGTGTTGTTCTGCCATGTCCAGGTCTCCTGTCTGCAGGGTACTGCAGCCCTTCTGTAGGTGTTCTTCATACGTACTGCGCAAGTAAAATTATAACAAGTTTTATTGCAAATTCATGCCCGAGGGCTAATTGCATGAAGAGAAATAACATTTGGTATAAAAACAGATAATTAGTACACATGGAACTACTAACTACTAAGAAACTACTAGTAAAAACTACTGGGTTTGACTTCTTTTTTGAAGACAGAGGAAGACAAAGGATCCCACTTTTTCTGTAATTTGTGGGTTTTCGGATGTTAACAGGAGAGTAGTTTTTTTTCATTTGTATATGTGTGAAAGTTTGGGTAGAATTTGGAGGCTACGTCGAAGAGTTCATTTCGTTCATTGCTATAGAGGGTACAATTTGAGATAAAATGCGTTTCGTCTTCCACCGTATTCAACGTACAATGCATATGTTTGCAATCGTTCATACACTTGGGAGCTTCTTATATCGCCCTCTCTCAATTTCGAGAGGGTGATATGTATGATAAGTATGATATTTCAAAACTTTGCCCATGCTCATTGTTGATAACATCGACATTGGGAATACATGCAGGAGCGAGTATCGCACACTAATACAAGTTACTCACAAACCTGCTGTCATCATGTTCCTGTGATATAATACTGCTTCAGCTGTTTGGGACTTCACCTTCTCAACCAAAACATTCTCACAAAAACTACACAGGTTGGGAGATGAATCATTCTTGCCAGGAGGCACGATCATAAATCATTGCATGACTCGCCTATTTTGGGGTAAGGAACAATGCCTCATTGAACGCAAAAAAAATAAAGGCGAAAATGGTCAAATATAATAGATACCGTGTAATGGAAAACGTAAATAGAACGTTAACTCCTACACCGCTTACTGTTGCATGGCTACGCTAATATGGGAAACAATAACCCACAAACCTGTCTTCAGCGTGCATTCTTGTGGCACTACTGTTTGGGAGTTGATCCTCTCCTGTAGTCTCACTGTAAAGAAACAACATGTTGCGATGCTCACATATCTTTAATAATTTTGTACTGCATAATTCCATTGCAGTTTTTTTATGACGATTTACCACATTTGTGGAAGGATTGACATAACAGGTTTGTATCACCTCTTCAAAGATGTCGAACCTGAGACCATACTGTAAGGTTTGAACCACTCACACCGGGAAGGTCCCCTACTCTTTTCGATAAGTGTGGTGGGTTCTTTAACGTGCATGGGGTGTGGCTCTCCCAAACACGGGACCTCCATTTAACGTCCTATCCGCCGAGGGACGTCCCTAGCCGAAGCTAGGTACTCAATTACACCTGAGTGAAGTGAGGAAAGTCGTGTAAAGTACCTTTCCCAAGGGTACAACGTCGCGGCGCATGTTCGGACTTGTTCGGGTACGACCCGGAATCGAACCCGGGTCTCCCCGTTTCATAGTCCAGTGATATACCACTACACCACACGACGCCACATAAAGTTGTGCATTGCTGAAGTGTAGTCATCAGATACATACATATTCTAAAATATTGCTACAAAATAGTAATAGAGATATGGTCTCTAAGATGTAAAACTGCGTGTATTGTTGCACGGTTACGTCAATGTAGGGAACAGGCTTACGAACGCCTAATTAAACATTGTAATACAGTCGTTCAGCACTGATCTAAAAGCAAGTTAACTCACAAACCTGCCACCTGCTTCCTGTGTTGAGGCGCGACTGTTCGCGACTTTACCCAGACAGTTTCCCATTCTGTAAGGAACCAGCGCGTTGTTATAATCACATTGTTTTGTAATTTATAATCCACTCCGGAAAGAACTGTTTACGCACAGAGCTGTCCAAAGGTCAAATTACGCCAAACGGTAGCACTACGTTCAAGTCGCTACGCGAAACATCGAAGTGAAGGCCGATCATCAAATATCCATGTGTGAAGGATTTCTCACACTTTTCAGCCATATCGTCATTCTATGTTATTTCGCAGTAGCAACATAAGCTCAGAACTGGACTTCCAGACATTTTTATTCCCCTGTTTGCTTTGCGCTAGCTCAGAATGATGATTAAGTTTGAACCTTGAATAACAAATACAACCTCTTCTTGGTAATCTTTGCCAAACTCTTCTCAGCAATAGTTGCACCTGTTCTGAACGCAGAATCACATTTTGCGATGCGAGCCTTACATAGGTGCTGCTAGATAAAGTAACAACGGCGATGTGACTGACGGAAGTTAAGTTTCCGAACTTTTATGAGAGTGTTAGTATGGGGTTGTTTTTTTTTTGACATACATAGAGGCACGTAGTTTATATTCATACACACCTTCTTTCTCTTCGGAAACACGTGTCGTCCTCAGTTCTGCCAGTGGTAAAGGATAGCGGTCTTATTGGTGTAAAAGAAAACACTTTACATCTCCAGACTGCAGGTGAAAGTAACGGTTCCAGCTCACGAAAGCGGAAGTCCCCAGATATGGCCTCACCTAGCCTGTAGCGCGGTGGCGTCTGGGAAGGTGGATTCCAAAGTTCTCTTTGATTTTTTATGTTTAACCCTATTTGGACGGGGGGGTGTTGGGTTGAGGCCTCGGACCCCCCCCCCACCCACCACCACCACCACCACCAACCCCACCGTGCTTCATTACATGTACATGTAAGGTATACTTAATTTTGTCAGTGATCACTTCTTCTCACAGATTCACATACCAAATCTAGTGCAGCTCTAATAAAAATGACTGTCAATTTACTGTCAAGCGTTGCCGACCTTCCTGAATTTACCGTTGAGCGTTGCCGGCCCTGCTGAATTTACGGTTTACCGTTGCCAGGACCCCCCATGCAGACCCTCTTTCATATAATTTCATATCAACATATCACATAATAGGGTTTTATGTTTCATAACCCTAGGGTTATTACTACACCATTCTCTGAAAATTTGGATAAGTAGTTGTTATTTACAAGGGGCGGGCCTCAAAAGCCCCCCCCCCCCCGGCCTGAGGATGCCCTAAAAAGCCCGGTCTGGATGGTGTTAAGTGGAGCAAATAACCAACGTCTTCAAAGGGGAATAACGGTGGAAACACAATGTGTCAAACATACAGCCAGCTAAGTAGCTTATATCCTATTAAAGTTAAAGAGAACTTTCCTAATTTGATTTGAATATCGTTAGAGAGCTGAACGCAACTACAAAGTAAAAAAAATGTTTTTTCATGCAAAACCTTTATTATGCAATGGTCTACCAAGCAATTGTACTGCAATGAAGTTAAGATCTTTTGATGCTTTGCTTTGTTATCCATTTCACTACGGTTGAATGCTTCGAGTTCAAAGTCTTGTAGCTTTCACCTTTCTAACCTTGTAACAAACGCTGGACACTGGACAATATCCTTCAGATAATTGATAATAGATAAATACAATAGACCCAAATATGAACGGTTAAAATTTACAGGAATTATGCTAAATAGGACGACAGGCAAGGCTGAGATAAAAGCATTTTATATATGTGACATGATATAGATTTGCCTTTAATGTATTATTGCATATGTAGAATTACAGTAAGTCCTCCATAGGCGGATCATCATAGTCATGATCGTCAGTGTTAGCTGTACGGTTTTGTTCCTTTGTCTCCTCGTTCTTTGGTTCTACCGCTGTGTCCGTATTCTCAACAGCGTCCAAAACTTCACTGTAGTCGTGGTCATCATCAGCACAGGTGGTTGGAAAAGCCGGCCTGTTCTTTACTGAACCGTTGTCTGAATGTTCCGTGCGCTCCTCCGGCGAAGTGTCACTATTTAACCCCTCGGGGGAACTTCTCAATTCCGTGTCTGAATCTGTGATGTCTCCCGCGGCGTCGAAGTGGTGAAGCGGGAGGAACGTGCTTCTACCCGGCACCGTGTTCTGTCTGCCGTCCGCGCTGTTGTTGGGAGCGTCCGCCCGTATGTTGTTGACCTTGGCGTTGAAGGGTACGGCGTACGGCGGACTGAGCGGCGTGTCGGGGGTGGGGGGTTCCCGCAGGAGCCGGTCCACCACCGTGGCGTAGTCATCGAACTGGTCGGTCTCCTCGTGCTGGCTTTCCACCTCCGGGAGGTCGGTGGCAGGGGTGTAGGTCAGGTCGGGTAGGAGTCCGGTGCCTTTTCTCTCCCGTCTGAAGTTGTTGATTCTCCTCCCGCGTTCCACGGCTCTGTTGTAGCGGACTGCACGGCGGTAGCTGTGATGAAAATACATATCTACGGTTTTCACTCCATGTATATATACGAATAAGGCTAAAAGTTTAAATCAAATTGACGCCGATTTGCTACAAACGCCAAAAAACTACTTAGATGTACACAACCGGCAATCAACAACACTAATTTTTCTTATCAACATAAATATGTTACTGACAAACTCGGTGCAAAGTCAACATTCTTTTTCTAGGCTTTTCTCTTGTCAACCTTTTGTTTGGTCTAAATTAGGAATTGAGTTCATACTATCTGCTTTGGTTACATCAAATTTGCCTCCGGGCATGAATATGCAATAAACTTCTCTTTGTGATAAAACGTCACGTTTTCCTTACACATAATTAAGAGAGAAGTATACAGACCTTTGTCTGGACAGAAAGACGCACATCAGGATCAGGACCAAGTTCATGATGATGAGGAAGCAGCCGACAATGGCGGCAACCATCACCCTCAGGTACCGCGTGTCCTTCTGGGCATGGGCGCAAGGTGGCGTCACAGGAGCGGCTGTAGGTGCTGAGAACAGAGAAGCGAACTTATTCATGCAGCACATCTAAACATGTCACCATTCCTTTATATCCTACTCTCTGGACGTAATATACACTTGGAAGTCAAGTTTACAGAAGTGTATTTAGTTTATGACTTTGTGCAACGAAATTATTGGATGATAGAGACGTTGAGAAAAAAGAAGATCCCTTACAGGTAGTTGTAGATGGTGGGATGGTAGCGCACTGTCGCTGTAAGTCAGCGAGTGTCAGGTTCACGAGCGGCATGCCCTGTACCGCCTGCGGGCCTGCACACGTCGGACTGCCGCCAAGCTGTTCCCTGCTCCTGTTGTTGACGAACGAGACCAGGCCGTGCTGCAGGCAGTCACAGAACCACGGGTTGCCGTGAAGGGTGATGCTGTCCAGCGCCGGAAGGTTGCTGAACAACGCTGAGGACAACGTTAACAAAGCAACATTGCATTTCTGGTTGAAAATACTCTTGAAAATGGCAATATGACCATTGAATCACAAATAGATTGTAACAGCCTGTATAGTAGGTCACAGTTACATTTATGAATAACCATACATGATAAGTTGATAAGTATTACCATATTTATTAGTGACTAAGCGATGAATGTTCTCCCTGAGGGTCCCAGGGTGTATCTCGGTATAATTGACAAACAAAACGTATAGTATATGAATACTAATACAGATAGTCCGTGAATAGTTTAATCGGGTAGGTAAATAACTGGTTAACAAAGCTCATTAAATATAGTATTACACACTATCAATACTGGACTGTTACGGATTTTACTTGGCACTGCAGCTAGCTATAGGTGTCGCTGCAGTGGGTAGGATGGGGTCCCAAACGTGACTGATTTCTCCTGATAGATATACTATTACATATACCTTTGTACGTCTTCTGCTATGAAGCAGATAAGGTTTAGCGGTTACACTGGTAGACTAATACTGATGCTGACATGACGTTATACACACGTACGTGGTCCTGTAGCCCACACGGCGTTCCGCAGGTTCCCCCCACACCCGGTCGGCAGCCCGCCCGAACACTCCCCGCCGCACTCCGACTCTGCCACCTTAGCGTGCTTACCGAAACTGTGTCCACACAAACACTGTGGGGGAGATACAACGGTTATCCATTCATACCTTTCTTGAATTCAGCACATGACAAGCAAACAAACAAGCCAATAAAGAAATTGATTTTAAACCTGGGTTTTCATTGAGTGGATTGTAGGACGTAAATCAATCGGGTATTACATCACTTACTGACTTCCTCCATATACCACCCACTTTCCCCAACCCGGCGCGTCGGGGCATCTTCAGGCTTCAACTTCCTATCAATCAACTGTCCAAATCTCCTCCCACAAAATAGACACACAGACCACAATTTAGCCACCCAAAACAATACTTCCGAACCTGGAAGTAACCACTTCATAAACATCGTATCTCTAGATATTACTTTCTTAACCGGCTCCTCCCCTGAGGTGTCAGCCGTTACGCCACGTACTAAATCGAACGTGTTTCGAACGCTTTTTATTTGCAGTTCGAATCGATCCGCGATCCCTAGCAACGCCGTTGCTAAGGAAACTCTTTTCGCGCGGCAGTTGGATGAAATTTCATCCGACTTTCACAGCTGCGTTGAGCCTGGTTTGTGGCATATTTACCTTCGTTGCGTTACATGTACCAGACGGGAATGCCATGTATTCTTGACATGATCAATTTTTGGAGGGTTTTACAACGTATTTTGTTAGATAAATGGTCATATTTGCTAAACAGTGAAATCGTCAAAATGGGGTGCCGAACTGAGCTAAATTTTCGACGAAATTCACATTGGGGGCATTTGCATGTCGCCCTCGATTCTGTCTTATATGACTATTGAGTAAGATTCTTTGAATCTTCGACTATGTCTGTTGTAAAAATCTTGTTGGATCAAAATCTGGAAATGCTTGTATATTCATATCTACCGGGGCCACCGTCCTCGGCCGTTTTACGCCAAAAGTTCTAAAACGTTGGTTTAGTTGATTCTAGTGCAACTGGCGTTTTAGCACGAGTTGCGGTACTAATGTACCTTCTCAATATTGTCAAAGGATGCCTACAGACACAGACTACGTAAGTACGAACTGAATCAGCAAATGCTTTCTTACTCTTGCGGGTATCATTACTAAAATCCAACGGTGCGGGTCTGGCGTCTGCTCTGTGGAACGCGCTTGATGCCCGCGCTGTTTTTGGAACGAAAACGATGCCTCTGATGAGGTGGCCTCGCGCGATTACGAAGGAAGCTCATTACATCCTCAACATTGATAACAAGTTATATACGGACAGAAAGTAGAGACTTCAGGCTATTTTACGCACTAGATTTCTTTTTGTTTTGAAAACAGAAATAAGGTAAAAACACCGGAGGAATTTCCACCAAAATCAAATGGTTTCAGGTCATATTATCAAATGAGTAGAGGTTAACAATCGTTTTAAAAAGTCACTAGGAGTAAAATAGGAAGCTTAATATTCACAGATACAATGAAATAATGAAGATATATAATTATAAACTCAAGCAACAAGCTTTGTAGTAAGAGGTCCCGACTCCCGGGGGTTATAGAACGTAAAATTGTCTCAAAACGGCGCGCGGTTCGCCGTGAGAGTCAATCATAAATCTTAAGGTCAGATTTGTATCACATCGGATCTGTGAATTGACTTGAAATTCGGAATACATACACGGGAGACCATTTTTAACATAATTCCACATGAAAATTTACGTTCTAAGGAGTGAGGACCTGTCCAGAGTAGGTGATAACTAAAAATGTCAAACCGGGCGCGTTCTATTCTGGAATCAAAATTATGACATGACCTCGCGCGTTTTGGGGGCATCTGCATGTCGCCCTCGAAATCGATAACAAGTTATATATCAACACAAAGAAGAATCTTTGCTCTTTCATACACACTAGATTTCCTGTTGGATCAGAATCTACAACAAGTTAGAAATGAGAAGGGGAGTTGCACGAAAATTACCTGCTTTCAGGTCAAATTTTTGAAAGGATCACGGTATGCCATTGCTTCAAAAATGTATAGGGGTAACAAATGAGGCTTACACATTATCAATAAGTTAGAATTAGGAAGATAAATGGTTGCAGACCTCAGCTACAAGCTTTCAGGTAAGGCGTGTCGGCCCCCGAAATCATGGAACGGACTACTTTCTCTCGCGGAAGAAAAATAAAACTGCCTCGAACTCTCGACGTGGCGTGGCGGCTGGGTGTTGCCAATTAATTTTTGTTTGTTTGTTTGTTTGTTTGTTTGTTTGTTTGTTTGTTTGTTTGTTTGTCATACCGTACCATGATGCTCTCCTGTAGCCCTGCGTAGCTGTACCCCATGGCGGCGCATGTCTCCACACAGCTGGCGGGGCTGAGGGAGTACCTGTGCGTCAGACTGACCGGGAAGTCTCGGTCTCCGGCGGAGTCTGCAAAGCAGCCGATGTACTGGGAAGACCCTAGACACAGTGAAAAGACGAAAAATTAGCTGTAGTAGCATTTTTTCTTCATTTTTGCGATTATAAGTTGGGGGTAATTATTTTGAACCTATAAAGACAGGACACAGAGATCAGCATGTAACAATAAGGTCTTTCATAGTTTAAATGTGCATGTGCAGTGTGCTGCATTGCATCTATGTTTCAGAGGCCTTAAGCTTTTAACGTATACCACAATGCATCCGACTGTGATGTAGCTCATTGTAGAAAAGTAGGTTAAAGTTTGTGACAACTGGTGACTTGTACAAATAAATTCTACATGTAATTCTAAACATCATTGTAGTGAATTGATTTTTCTTACCTCTTCCGATGGTTGTCAGCTGGTTGTTCGCCAGCAGTAGGGTCTGTAGTGACGTCAGGCCAGTGAAGGTCTGCGACGTCAGGTGCCATATCCGGTTCCGGGATAGGTTCAGTTTCCGGAGCGCCGGAACGTCCCGGAATGTCCGGACGTCTATTGCCGTAATGCGGTTGTTCGACAAGTCTAGATCCTGTAGACTGGACAGGTGTGTATTGTACAAGATTAAGATAAATAATCAACAAGAATCTGTTATGCTTTTTGTTGTTTTCTGATAGATTAGACTTTAAAAACGAATTTTCCATCGTTTGCAGGTGGACAAAAAAATAAAGTGATTGATTGTGATAGAAGGTTTGAGATTCTTATTACAAGTTAGGAGAATCAGGGCCAAGTACTTTTTACAGTCACAGTTATATTAAGGCCAATGGAAAATGAGGACACATTTGTAAACGGGACGGGAGGCGATATAGACTTCCAGGATACCTTTGACCTATTTCTGGAGTCACGTGTTCTCGAGTATACAGCTACATTAACGAAGGCCCAGGGTATGGCCTAAATCGGTGAGTCCGCATTTGTCCATGTAAAGTAGAGCAGGAGACAAAACAGACACAGATTTTCAAGTAGTCGGACTCACCTGCTACATTCTAAACTTTAGCTATTTTATTCTCACCTGTTCAGCCCTAGTAACGTCTCTGTTTCCAGGAAAGTCAGCTGGTTGTTGTTAAGGCTGAGCTTTTCAACTCTGGCAAGTCGCGAAAACGTACCTAAACAACCGAACAAAATATTCTTAGAATTAATGCATTATCATACAGTACCGTATACGTAACACATAGAACTTTAAATTCTTGTATCCAGAGCGTTCAACGAAGGACAAAAATACAGTAAATATATTTATTGTACCGAGGACCACGGCGTGTATTGATTAACATTGTGTAGAACTAATTTGGATAAACACAACTACTAGTATAACTTTATATAACATAGACGGTATTTAAGCTTTATCTATCAACAATTCAGGAGACAAAGACTCTTACCAGCCGGGATTCTGGAGATGCCGTTCCTGAGAAGCAGGAGAACTGCTGTGGTGTCTGGGATGTTCCGCGGTACGCTGGGTAACTCATTGTCTTTACAGTCGACCTTCAGACCTTCTGCCGCTGGCGAGCACTGGCACGGTGAGGGGCACCGCTGTGCGACGGTCTGTGTGCGGCAAGATATAAGACAACACAATATTGCAGTATGATTGAATTGCCTAGTATCATAACTTCTTTTGTTATTGTTGCTGTTGTTGCGTATGGTGGACCAACTCATTCGATACATAGCAGAGTAGAATTATAACCAAGGGTGGCGTATTGGACCCTTTCTGGCCAATGGATACTGCCTGGCCAATTTGATACTGTCTTTTGCACCATAGGATCTGCTTGGAGATTAAATAGATTAGAACAGTGGAAATGTTGGATAAGAGAAAATGTCGTACATTGTGCGACGATCGTGCAACGAATTTGATAGGCCCTTACCTGTAACAATGAAAGCCATAAGATGATACCAATAGTCCACAGTAACCGCCGTGATGTGAACCCTGCCATTGTCAGCCTGATATACACAATGAGAAATCTGTTCACATCTCAAACATACAAACACCAATCACAGAACTCATCAAGTGTGAAATTAGACGTTCCAGTCCCTGCATTCATAACTCAGAACAACTACATCAAACCAATAATGTCGTAATTACTTTCCACATTAGCCTGTGTTGCCTCAATGAGCCCGTTTGTTTTCTAATTATGTTACACTGATCACGGTACATAACACTTCCACGCTACGCTAAATCTGAATGTAAAGCATCCGTTAGTTAGTTGATAGTTTTCCTGTTGTTGCATTGTTAGTTTCTCTGACTACAGGCGTGGAATGACTACAAAACCACATCCTTCAAACTGATATACAGAAGAATAGCTAAATTCCTGCATCTTTACACCATTTAAATGTATTTCCTCCTTTTTTGTGGTGATGACTGGCTAAGAAATTTCAAAGAATGTGTATAATGTGCGTGCTTAGAATTGGAGCAAGGTCGGAAGGGTGACGTTGTCAGGATGTGGTATTCGCCGCCCAGGATGAGGGTTATGACAGGGGTAACAAAAATCATGTTTCCACCATATTCCATTTCGCGATTGTTTATTTGTTCTTAGTTAGTTACTTTAATTTTAAGCATATGTAATTCAAAAGATATTAATCCGTAGCAGTAATGCTAACAAATTTGTGTGGATTCATAAGAAATAGTGGCACCGGGTATCTGAAAACCCCTTTACCAGCCTCTCAACAACAACAATGTCTGATCATGATTTAAGGATGTCCTCCAGACGTTGATCGAATGAGTCTCCCTCTAAGAAATAAATCTACAGCGCGCCAAATCGTTACTAATCAGATCAACTTCCCCTGGTCTTACAACCAATGAAATTAGGGCAGGAGGGCAGAAATAAAAGGTGGGTATAGACACAGGATAATGTCATACATTCAGCGCTTAGACAAAGTAATTTCTTAACGTATTTTACCATTTGGCGATGCAATTTTAAATGTAATATACATTCCAATGTATTAGTCAGGATACGCCCTACCTTACAGATATAATGCCAATTACTCATTAGCATATATTTCTTATTCATGCAGTCAACCAATTAAAATCAACGAGGCCAGAAGTGACAGAATAAGGTTAAAAAGACAACAATGCCGAAAATTTTACTTACTTCTAAGCTCTAGTTTGTCGCTACCAACGTTTTAGATCCGGCCATGTTTAGTTTGTGTTCGCCCCAACAGTCGTTTCACTGCCAACTAAAACTAAACTGGTATAGGTTGGCAAAGTATTGGGACAAATGTAAATATTGAATATGGGCCGGGTATAACCGTTTATACATGTCGACTGTATACTATGTAATCGTTTTGTTTAACCTATGTGGCCATTCCTTTCCGACGTGTAACGTTGAATCATCTGTGTCAAAATTATATGGATTGATAAAAAGTGTTATAAAACTGGCTGTCTATACATGTACATTGTATTACAAAATATTGGCGAATAGGGCCTCTATGACACTCGAAAAATCCATTCACAAATTTCGTAGTTAATAGAATCTGTTATATCGTTGGCAATTATGGATGTTAAACCCGTTTAATAGCATTTGAAGTAAAATCTTCCGTCAAAACGGTATCATCTAATACATGTATCTTCTCCTTAAGAATGTACGTCTTTAATCTCCCTTTAGATTTGTTGTTGTTTTACATTACGCCTTGTCGTCCCCCGTAAATTAAAAGCTTTACATTTGTTGTTGTTTCAAACAAACGATAACTAACGCGTCACTGATCACTCTCCCCTCAGGACACTTCGTCCTGACGAGTCACATGTAGGTGTGCCCAAGGCGAATCACGTCACCTTTAACCTGGTGACGACAAGCTTTGTTTGCCTTGAATAATTCACCAAGCAGAAAAAGAAGAAGAAAAACTGTCATCACAAATTTAGTCAACCATAAAACATCTCCACCGTTTGCGTTCTCATGAATTTATAAATGCCGTGCGTTAGATTTCTCACTATAGGCGCCAAAACTGCCTTCAGGCTGACTGGACGTTAAGACTATAACAGTTTGTACTCCACAATTCTTTTCGACAGTCAACAATTTTGTTACAATCAATGAAAAAAATGAAGAACATAGCAGTGGGCGGAGCCGCTAAGGTCACCGATGCTATCTGCCTGTTGTTAAACCGGCTGAGCCGAGCAGATTACACTCCATTAGGCAATTTTCCCAAAGGGGGCTGTCGCGACGGAGTGAAGGCCAGTGGGACGTTTTAGCCTCACGAATTACACGTATGTTTAAGGAGAATTATCTACTACGTGATGATCCTTATGACAGTGACGTTTGAATGAAAAGAAACGACAGATATCCCAGTGACAAGACAAGAGTAGTGAAGTCGCCGTAAGCTATAGCGCTATCGCTGATTGACATCGGTATGTAAAAGGCGATCCGAACATTCCCACAAACACACCTTGAACGTTCAGGTCCAACAAATCACTTCTCAAATGTTGTTCTTCTACACAAACTGTGTTTTCTAACGGATAGGGGGCTAAATTACACCTTTCGTAACACAAGAGACGAATTTTCCGATTATTTCTGACAGAAATAATGTGTTTTACTCACCTGGAATGGGCGCCAAAACTGAGCCCGGACGTTTCGACGACAGACAAAACGGACGATAAATGACTCGTCGAGTTACTCAGGCGTGAACGTGCCGGAAACGGAAGTGACGTGTCAAGTATTTTCCACGAAGGTGATTTCGGTAAATAGACGTTGCGCAATGAGCCATTACAGACAACCACCTTTTACACATTACCTGCAGTACCACTCGTGGCCGCGCAGCGAGTAGATTGTACAAAACACTGCACTCTGTCAAACACCTAGTACGTAAAATTTGGGTCTGTTTGGGGATTGAAGAAATTCCATTTTATGCTAATTAGAAAGAATACAATTTTCATATCAAAGGCAACACGCCTTTATTAAATTGTTAACCTCGTACATTAGAACTAGATTCTAGGCAGCCGTTTTTGGCGACGCCTTAGGGGCGGAGCCTACAGTACCTTAAGCTTGCTTAACATGTTATCATTTCGTGGTCCGGTAAGATGATCAGATTGCAATATGACGACTGTCCACGTTATTTCCATAGCTATCAATTCCACAGGAGCACATAATATAAACTGGATGGAATTTCTTATAATAGTCTCGAGTCTGATATCCCGAAAATATAGAAACAAGCATCAAACGAGCATGAAACAACCTTAAAGTCTTAAAGCTTTCCCTTCCCCCTGTGCTGCTTTCTTTGTGCTGTTTTTACAAGACGCTCGGCGGTTTATCGGTTCTAGTCTTCTGGACGTCTTGTTCTCACTCCACAGTCGGATGCCAGCGGCAAGGGTCACCGACCTGTCGGACGATTCCTGTAGCCGTTTCTCCGTCTCCACATACTTGGCGCTCACCCGGGCCAGTTCGGTCTGTAACTGACCCACCCTGTCTCTCACCCGGTCAACGTTCGCACCGAGCGTCAGAAAATTAGCGGTGGCCTTTTCTGCCTGAAGCTTCTGCTTGATTTCCCGTTTCCTCGACTCCATGCCCGTTAGCTCTTTCTTGATGTGTGCCGCCCTCTCTCTCTCCAAACTGTACTCGTACATCAAGGCGTCCTGTCGGATTTGTTCAAACTCCGTTTTCAGGTCGGAGATGCCTTTGCTGAAGCCAGCATCGCCTCTGTATTTTGCAGACGACACCCGTCCGTGAGCTTCATTCGTACCCACCACAGAGACCGGCCCCGCCTGCCCTGTGGATGTCGTGCCGACGGCAAGTGGATGTCGAATGCGATTGTTTTCCTCAGGAGTTTGTATAGAATCTTTTACAAGAGGCTGGTCTGAAGAGCTTTTCGTTCTGCGATGGTGTTTAGGAGATATCGCTGCAGCACCAGTGACAGCCGCAGGGAAGAAAAGCCCCCTTGGAGAAGAAGGCAGACTTGTGCTCGTTTGTTTCCCCTTCGGTACGACGAGGGAAGTCGTTTGTTCCAACAGAAGGGCAGGCGCCTTGGCGTTCTTTACTGGGGCTCCAGTACTCTTGCGTGTATTTTGTCGAATTTCTTGTGCCTTTTGCGGCTTCTGTTTCAAAATGGTCGTTGACGCTGGTGAATCTATTGAAGTTGGCGGGCTGCACATGACTTCCGGCTCCTTCCTATGTCTAGTTGTTTGTTTTCCAAACGAAGTGCTATGTTTTCCAAACGAAGTGCTACCCACCTTGCTGGTAAGCCCAATGTTATCCTCAGGGGACATGGGCGCACCTAGCGATTTACCATTGCCATGCAGTCGGCCTTCTTGTTCGTAGAAACGTTTAGATTTGGGCACTACATCTGCTTGGAGTTTGTCGCTCTTTTCTTTCGCGGTCTTGTCATGGTCCGTTGCCATGGAAACTTGAGCTAAAGTGTCGTTAGAACTATCTGCAACTTGTTGTAATACATCGTCCTCCAACAGGCGTCCCCATTTTCTGGCTAATTTTAAAGCCTGCTGTGCCGTTTCCTGTAACGCTGGTATGAGACCCTCAAAACCATCATTTGTGCTTTCTTTCTTTTCTGTAGGTGTTCTTTGAACAGTCCTGTCTTTGACTTTGGGCGATTTTTTAAGAAGGTCTTTCCACGACGACAAGATTGTTGTCAGCTTCTTCTCAACCTTTCTTACTTTCTTACAGGAATGTTTTGGGAAGCCCTCCTTAAGCGGTTTCAGGATGCCCTCTCGGAAATCTTCTTGTAGGATTGAAAATTTTGTGTGCGTGGCGAGGAATTCATCTATGACTGGCGACGGCTTTCCTGTAAGACAAGGAACTCGTGTTGGAGTTAAAACTTAAAACAAGAAACTACTTCTGCTGTCAAATGAATGTACATAATTCAAATTGCTCCTTATGAGGTCACATGTCCTGATTGGGTCATTTATTCTGAAGAAGACCGAAGATCAATCAATCAATTAATCTCTTGTGCTAGAAAAAAGTTTAACCTTTTTCCAAAATTCAAAAATCTGATGAAAAAAAGGAAGTTATAGCTTATACTGACCGTTTGAGACTGCCCAGTCTCGCAGCTCCCTGAGTTGTGTAACACCGTCTATTCCTTCACCGGTCTGGCCGTGTTCTCGTTCCCAGGTCACCACCAGCTCCTCCAGCCCTGCCCGGAACCTGGGAACGAGATCCGGGGGCACCGCGTCCTGTAACCGCCGCTCGAACTCCGCACACTGCCCGCCGAGCCACCGGATCCGGGCCGCTGGGTCCATAGCTGCAAACACACTCTCCTATGGAGGAAGGGGGCAGAGAAATATGTACATTAGTATTTTTATTGGCAATGATGATATCATATTTCTGAACGCGCCACATACTTCACATAGTGTCTGCTAGAGAACGTTAAAATTTTCTACCCAATATCTGCTTGGGGATTACATATGTCCCTTTTAGAGATGTGCTGACAAACGTAATAAATTACGAAAGGTCAGCAAGGTTAGGGCCCAGTCGTTATCAAGGAAAGTTGTTGTCACTTGTCGCTAGGCAACGCAGACAACACTATCAGTTGGTGGCTGTTTGCAGTCACGTCAATTACTATGAACTGCAAAAAAAAAAACTGTGTCGAAGCAAGTAAAAAAATTAACTTCCTGACTCTTTGCTCCTGAAACTCCTGAAACTTTAAGACGTTAACACAAGTTTAAGACATGTCAGAATTTATTCAAGACATTTTTTGAGATCTCCAGACTACGTCCTCTTAGACAGAAGGTCAAATTACAGACCTTTATTGTGATCAAATTTTAGTGATAGGTACCTGAAATATGCCCATTCATTACATATGCTGATATGTCTTGGCGTGGTAGAAAAAAGAATAAAATCTTCAGAACTGTACGCCATACGCAAGCAAGAAAATAGAAGTGTTTTAACTTCCCACAGAGTATAAATTCCGTCCTAACTCAACTGTTTGACAAGAGACAGTTTACTGGTACATTAAACGCGCTACACATGTTCTCCGACTCGTTTGCTTTTGATGAGAGAAGCTAAAAACTCTCGTTTGGAATAGCTAGTAGCGATAGCTGAGGCGGTTTCTTTTCAGCTTTCCAGGCCAGCTAAAGATCTTCTTGGAGACAACAAAAAATATTTCATTTCAGATCTTAGAACATAAGAAAATGTCAAATCGTAACAGTGGCTAAGCTGACATGATAAAGAAGGAATAGAGACCTACCCAACCGCAAATATCACAGCTACATTTCGCCGACTTGTCCCACAGTACGTTCTTGACTATAACGCCACCAATGCTATATACTTTGACTCATTCTCATTTAGAAGAATTTATGTCAGTTGGCGGTCCTTTTTGCAGCAGAGCCATTTGTACACACCACGCAAAACCTTCCGAGAGAAAAATATGTCGTCGAGCCTCAAAACACATATGAACTGCAACTATGAGGACGCCTGAAGCAAAACGCGTAAAGTCGTATATTCAAAGTGGCTTTCATTTCTGGGGCATTTAGAACGGTTGGCTACACAGTAATTGGATGTCTCTGGAAACATGTTAGCACGGGATTACTGTAGATTTAAACATGTTACAAAACAAAAGAACAGTAAGTAATATTACCTACCTATTTCAGGGAGCTGCGAAAAGAACACATGTAAACGGTATACATGTCTATATAAAATCGGTAATAACAGGTGAGATAAACCACCTGGACTTACCGTGTACGCCTGCATGTTTTGTTTTCCGATCTGTTCGCGTCAGAGTTTCGTCATTGTTCTTTCACTGTTCGCAGTGGAGTGTGGGACCAGCTGACACGGTATGGCCACGTCCAAACAAGCCCTGTGGTTGTTATCCTGCAAGCCTTTATGGATGCATACCGAAAATGTACGTGTACTTGAAACAAACAAGTGACTAAAGGCACAGTCTAGCGCCGTACGGTTTTTATGTGGATGCTTTATATGACAGAAGCAATGGTCATTAAGAATCAACGACAAAGGTTTTCTTCACAAAACAGCTGAGGTCTGCACGACGACTCTACGACTGTCCCATAAACGTCCGACGACTCTACGAATGCCCCATTCGCTGTCGTACGAACAACGATTATTGCAGAGCTGGTCATAGACAATGCATGCATCGAAGACAAAGTTTTCTGCCACAAGACAATTGAAATCTGTACGAACACTATACGACTGTCGCACAAATGTCCTCAGTTCTGTTGTAAACCTGTCGCGTGCAAGCAACGTTTACTGCACTATACATGCAAATAACTGTGTTACGCTCAGTCCGGAGAATAACAAGTCTCAACTCTGTATTGACTTAGCAACGTAGCTTACACCGTAAAATACAATACAAGATTTGTATCCCCACAGGGGTGACAGTGAAGTTTGTTGTTGTTAGCTTAAACAGAAGGTTTTTCTGTCACCAGCTAGTGAAAACAAATGTTCCAAAGGGGAATTGTCGTGCACGGAAGGATGACGAACAATGGACTCGCACGATAGACACCCTTTTGTGAGTGACTTTGTGACCTGGTCTTTTGCACGGGCGCCAGGGATGCCATACTAGTAGTTATCTTCTGACTATATATTATGACGTATGTGTGCACTTATATATTGCATGAAGTCGTTTTGTGGACAAGTGAAGGGAAAAGAAAAGCTGTTGCGAAAATAAAGCAACGCGCCAAAAGAAACAGAAAAAGTAAACATTTGACAAAAGAAAAAAGAAGCAAGCCGTGCGTTTATTTTTCAAATTGAGTATGTCCAGTCGGAAGTGTTTTTATAACGGACGGCGAGGCTAGATCAGATATCAAAAGATCGCGTGCAAGCTAAAATTCACACACAGACAATGTGAAATATGTGAGGCTTGTGCCAGCAATGAAAGATCAAAATCTCTCACGCAAACGGCCAATGTCAGGTTGATACATTTTTCTGTGCGCCAATCCCTTATATTACATGCATTGTAAACTGTGCTAAGAATAGCACTTTTTTGCGCTTTGAATTTTTTTTATTGTTGTCTTAGTGTCCACGCCATAGGCGTTCGTGTTTTTATCGTCGCTTGTTTCTTGTTATTTTACGTGTGTTTGCTGCTTTGGTATCATCAAAAAATTTTGGCTTCTTGATCATTGAGGAATAAGGCCAACCACCTAGCGGCTTCATCTTAAAATACAGTTTTATAGGTATGTGAAACGTCCTAGATTTGACGAACTGGGTAACTTTCGATTAAAACCAAATAGCAATTCTTTATAATCCTGGTGCCTACATATATACAATATAAAGGGGAAATGATATTTAAAGAGATATTTATAGCGGTCACATGATACTCTCGGACACCATTCCCCACATGTCAGGATGGCCGAGTGGTCTAAGGCGCCAGACTCAAGGGTGGAAGTCCCTTCCCAGCATTCAAAGCGAGGGTTCTGGTCCCCGAATGGGGGCGTGGGTTCGAATCCCACTTCTGACATTATATTTTACGCACAGGGTTTCTGGTAAGGTACAAAGAAATATGGAAGAATAATTCTGTATTCAAAATCTATTTTTGTATATCTGAGAACCAAGTCATTATGATGTGTGGCTTTGAAATTTGGCAGACTATTACTATCGCCAGACAGCACGTCGGCAGAACGTCTGCACGATGCCCGTATGCACGGCAGAGCGTCTCCGTTTCGCGTATTTCAGGATGGCATCCCGTCTATATACAACTGAACCGCTAAAGGAATTGTTCAACTTTATCACCACAAGCTGCATTGCACGTGCGCCCCCTGTCTTTTATCTGTGCAACTACTACAGCGTATTTCTCTCTGAGGTTGTCGGACCCTTTCCCTGTAGGCTACAGAAGAGTGAAACTGAAATACAGTAATCTCCGAGAAGACTAAGGCAAGACAGTAATGCCTTCCTGTTCTTGTCACAAACGGGCGGATTATAACGAAACAAACAGGTAAACCCCAAATGGTCCAATTGCAATCTCTAACGTTTCCCCATTTGGGCTAATGATCCTGTATGTGTGTGAATCTGGAATATCCACCATCCATTCACCGGATCCAGAGCTGGTAGATACCAGCTATAACTGGTTTAATCTGGACGGAGATCTATTTCATTTCAAGTTGACCTTTGAAGACACACGCACTCTTTATCTTTTGACATTTCCCTCTCACACGCTAATAGATAAAGCCCCTGTCTAATATATACACTTCGGTAGCGTCCCTTACATCACGTAAAAAAAGTTGTCACGGCTTATTACGGATATACTGATAGCTATCAGTTCGGTGACACTGAGGCGGAAATGTCAGTGATTGGATTAGCATTTTGGTCGTCTGCGTTGCCATGGCGACGGATGTTCTGAATACGTATGTCGTCTGCAGGTAAAAATGCCTCAGTCTGATCATATCAGGGCTCTGTACTGTACCAGTAGCCAGCGTTACCTGCGACGAGTGTCATTTCGCATTTACTGTTATGTGTTGTGTTTATAATAATACAGAATTGTCGCTACAGTTTTGTGCCATGAAAAGCAACGATACATTAGCAAGCAGCACATGCAGACAACTATACAGGTAAGAACATCACTGTATTTGTACTGGCTATAGGTTTGGGGGCAATTTGAGAGTAGATTGTTTGGGGTATCGAACAGCAACGGGAAACATATTTCATGTAACAGCATACATGTACAATGTATTAAACTTAAATGTGAACTGTTTCTTAATCTAGATCTTTCGTGGCTTTTTTGTCTCTAAAACGAGGAAACATTTCATGTGTTTTTCTGTGTTGTTCTTTCATGCTTTTCGTTCTGAATTAAACATAACCAATTGCATCGAGTAATGGTCTTTAGGATTTTGCACAGACGGAAATAAGGTTCAAAGTGATTTTTACCTCCTTTCTACAGGTAAACCACTGTACGTGTCTATCATGTGGTTAGATTGGATGTTTAGGAAGAAATTTCTAAGAACAATTTAAAACTTGCGTTCCCCAGGTGATTTAGAAACACAGAATCTGATCTCCTTACACCTTTGCGGGGATGGGGCGTTCCCATCATGCCCTCTGACTGTCAATCACTTGTCACATTCTGACGTATGCAGTTGGCAAGTAAATACATGTACTTGGAGTTTGGTTCCAAATAGCCTTGTTCTTTTAAAAAGAGGCCCAACCTACCCGGATGTGCAATGGTAACGCTCCATTTCCTACTTGACGCAAGCTGATTTTGGAAGAAACCATTTGTATAGAGGGAATTGGAGCATGAAAACCCTTTCTGACGAGTAAAAGATCCAGAAGGAAAACTGTTTTATCTTCATCTGAATCTCAATATAGGAATGGTAATACCTGTAATGATCTAAGTACGTATACCGCCTAAAGTGTTCTATTTTTTGCCAGGTTAGTGATCAGCGAGCACACTACGAGAGATGATATTTCTACGCCACAATTGGCACATTATCCTATAGTATGAAGAAATTACATAGCAAAAGTCACCATGATTATCAAAAATACGGATTTTCATACTTTTTATAAACATCATAAGTAAAATTGGAAAACTCTATTTCATGCCAATACAACGTTCAGAGCTCGTTTATACGCGGTTTGACATTACATGTACTATTATAATTCTTAAAACACAAGTCTAAATAAACGTCGGCAACACACAATGCAAGGTAGACTTCACTTTAGTGGTTTTCTCTGTTGTTGCTCCAGTTCTTGTCTATGTGTGCTCCGGTTCCTTTCACATAGAAAAGAAACACGCACGTCTGTTATCAAGTTTTCTGACTGTTTATGTCATGCTCACATGTGTGGATGACAACATGCCAAAAATGTGGTCGAGATTCTAGATTGGCTGTCTCAGTCTCTTTTAGGATTTACACCTACATTAATGATCGCTCTGGAAAGTTCAAAATCCTCTAAGGACACCAAAATGATGAAATACTTTTGTAAAAACGATATTTGGGCGTCTTTTCCCTCAGTAAATGAAGCTTGAAAATTCACGCAACACGGTTACATTATCGTCTGCAGTGGTGCATATTACAGCGTAGAGCCGGGGTATTGTTCACGTTTATCGCACCTGTTCCCAAAGCTATCATTACGTATCTCAACGGGGAGGGGCACTGCAGATAACTTCTTCAGCCTTCTTTTTCAAACCCAAATTTTCTTTTGGAGGCTCTTTCAAGGGGTCGTCACACAGTCAACGTTCTTAAGGCCGAATTTTGACATCGCCAGAGGGTTTTTTTTTTAAATCTACCGTCATATTGGTTTGGTGACTTGCGAACATAGGCCCACCCCTAGATATCGCACATATAGAGAGGACACCGACTGTGTTCCTGTCAAAAATGTCGTTTTAGAGCTTGCAGACAGCTCCCGTTGTGTGACGGCAGCATAACGACACCCCGCGAGGCCGAGAGATCATTTTTCTCCCCACCTTTGCGTTCTGCTGCGTGCACACATGACGTATGTTTACTTTGCAGGTGGATCACAGAGATGCAGACAGGCGTGACAGGCACACCGTCAGTCTCTTAAACAAACCACGGACCCATCAACATGGAAGACTACGTAGTGAGTACACATCAAATCTTTATCATTCGGATGAAATGTTATTCTAAAAACTATTAAGAGGGTTTAAGACGGTTAGAACGTTGTTTGTCTCAGCAGTTCTTTGTTAGCATGGGGTTACCGCAAAGGAGGCCACAGGAGGCAAAGCATGAAGAGTTCCGCTGACTGAGTATATATGGCAACAAAGCTGAAAGAGTATGGCTACATTTAAACCGTTGATTGTTTTCTTTACCTTCTTTATCTCCGACCCTGCTTTTTCTGATATGAATTCGACGGTTATGAGGTCGAATCCCGTTCAGTGAATATTGCTCAGTCGAGTTACACGAAGAGTACATTGGGAGCCGTGGTCCGTTCGGGAATTTGTTCTGTTTTGACAGTTGTTGTGATAGAAACGGCCTGAGTCCATTCTCTGATGTAACACATCGTCATATTTGAATATCTGTCGTTAATACCATCCCAGATTTGATCTTCAGTTGATATACTTCTGGGATATTACGTCTTTGATTTCATGCACTTAAAAACGTTTTTGGGATACGAATGTAATAAGCAACTTTCATACATACACGAAGATCTTCATATGGAAACAAGAGTTCCACGATCTCATACCTTCGCCAAAAAATGTTAACCCTTGCGGGTGACGAAGTCTACAATTTTAATCATTGATTTTGTAAATAAGAGCCTCATTTGCATGGATTATATCAGTTGATCATATTCTCCATCCAATGACAGCCTTATCATAACAAAAAGGCTATTATAGCACTTCCTCATAAATTATGCAAATGAGGTAATGATTTGAATCAATTATGTTTATTGATGTTCACCTTCACTTAACTTCCAAATGTGGCAAGTATGAAATTTGGGGTGCAGCAGTTACAACTATGGAATTATAAGAATTTGCCATAAATTATTCAAATTAGGTCCTCATTTACATAATCTATATCCTCAGATGTTTTTCTCGTTCTCAAGTAGATGTCACAACTGTTTCATAGTTCTATTATCGAACAAATCAGATTTATAGAATTTCCTCATTAATTATGCAAATTAGCTCTTGATTTGCATAATTGCCATCTGATTATGTCAAGCATTACTTCAACTACCTACATACCAAAAACCACGACAATACGTCAACCGGTTCTTGAGTTATCGTCCTTCAATTTTTTTACAACAAATGCTCCTGCAGTTCTAGAACAAGGCGCTAGGGGACCCAAACTCATGTCACTTCTTCCCTACCCCAAGAGCTATCTACCAACCGAAATTCGTGACCCTAGCATGTACAGAACATGAGATATCAAAACCGGAAGTTCAGCTGCAGTACCTAGGAAAGCCGCCAGGGGGCCCAAAATCTAATCATTTCTAGGTCTCATGAAGTCATACCCACCTACCAAGTTTCATTCCAATCCATCCACTGCTTCTCGAGTTATCTTGCTAAACCACACACACACAAACACACCCACACACACACAGACAAACGCTACTGAAAACATAACCTTCTTGGCGAAGGTAACTAGAAAGCAAATGGATCCTAACTCGCGGTCTCCCTGGCACAGATCATGGTTCACATTGAATCAAGTTAATGTTGAAACTGTCTTAACTACATGGACGGCCTCATTACCCTGGGAAAGGTACCGATTGACCAGGGAAATATTCAGGTGAATAAGTTTTTGCTTTTGCTAAGAGATGAATGTAAAAAAAATGCGAATACTTGCCTCTCGAGTTAAGGCATTAGAATTTTAAAGGCTTCACTTTTATGTTTTCAAAATGGGACGTGCGAAAATATTCTGGACTATTATCACAAGCTAGTTTCAAACAAAATGTTTAAGTTTGCGAAAGGTTCTCCTTACAATGAGCTTTAATTTGTTATCACAACCATATCCCGCGGATTACGTCATCACTATGGCTTCTTTTGATACGAACTTGACGCATGACGTCACAAGTTATTCCGATGTTCAGTTAGGTTTTTGAATTCGCCATCTACCACTGGAGCTTTTGGGACCGTTAGTTGATATGATTAATAATGCGCTTGTTTATTTCTTATTCGAGGATTGTATTTGGGCCTCGTGTTCATCCGTTTAGAGATTGTATCTATTTAGATTTATCTTGTCATTATCTGTGGCAACAATTTGTCAGGAACGTAAAATACACACCTTAAGGAATTTGTTGATAAACCCCTGGGTATTCTGGAAAATTACTCTATTCATAAGTCGTACCTAATGACGCTGAAGTAATTCAATCTGCCCCAGGCAGTGTTGAATTTCATATCACTTCACAGACGATGACGCAAGTCGTTATTGAAATGAGTAATCTACATAATGATGACGTCACGAATCACTTAGTCAACTTTTGATGGAACTAACTTTGAATAAGAAACGTAAATGAGGATAGAACAACAACTTTAACAACTTTAATTCATTCACACGAAAAAATCACTGTTTATCTTTGAAGGTAATGTCATATCTACGCTCTAGTTGTCAATGACATAAAGCCCACTGTCTATATATAGCCAGACCCACAGCTGACTACAAGCACTAGTACTGTCACCAAGTACAGTAGGGGCATTGTCAATAGATAGCTTTAAACAATGTCTAGAGCTAGAAGTTCAAGGGTTAGGTGTAACAAGTCGATCGGTGTAATATAGCCAGCTGCCGCCGCGCCGCGTGCCTGCGAAGCTGGTGTGTTACGCCGAAAGGCGGTTATACCGGCTATACAGATACAGATACAGATACTGTGCCTTTGTATGTACGTGTAACAAGAATCCACGGCGGTGTACACAACCACCTACTGTATCCCCCTATAACCTCCTTGCTGTATCCTATATACGAACAGTCTGCGCCAATGCTTTTGAACATTTAGGGCCTGGTCTCAATCCCTGTCGGCAGTGGGTTCTGTCATTCTGCCACAGCCTGTTTGAAAATCCTATGACATTAAAATCATACGGCGGCCTACGACGAATGTGATCTCACCGTAACTTGTATTTTTTGTCACAATACAGTCACATGTATATACAGAGATACATGTACGTGCACATACAAAAACATCGAAGGCCAAAGTTTTTACGTATTGTCCCAATGACCGCGATTGTACCAAACATAAAGAAATCCAGTAGTTCTTGTCCCAAACACTGGCTGGTGGGATGAATGCTCTTCTATATCCATCGCTGCCGCCCGGTAACGGTATGTAAGCAGGCGTGCCAAAGGTGTTCAGTTCGGGAGGTCGCCGTGGAAGGTGATCAACGTTACCGGGAGACGAGCCGACGGACCGCGGCAGGGACTATAGCGGCGCACCGTCACGTCTCACCCCGTGTGGGACTCGGAATTACGGGCCGTTGTCGCTCTGTCGTGTTTTCTGTGTACAGAGTGCATACCTTGGAGGGAAATGTATGTTGTATGTAGCCTAAACCAGCCGCAACGCCACACTTTCTTTTATTCGACGTATCTTTTGAATTCAGGCACTCAAGGCAATGTGCCGTGGATTTACAACAAATTGGGCAGGGGATGTTCAGTCAGTTGATGTCTGCAACCGCCATGCATTAGTTCCCGACGGTTGATGGAGTGATAGATTGATTGATGTTCTGGGTCAGTCCGACCTTGTCTCGAGCGTTGATGTTTCAGTCCTATTCATGTCTCTCGGCCCAAGTCGTAACCTTGAAGTGGTCTTTGGGTCTTGTTACTTGGTGACGATTGCGTAAGAAAGCAGACTTGCAATTTAAAGCAAGATCCATTAAAACTGTCGAAGCCCAGGATTTTTACTGGATAGAGTAAATAGCCTCTACCAGTCTGTGCTGTCAAACGGCTGCCAACACTAAAGTGGTATCTTGAGTTTTCGTACCTGCTACGCCTCATTTGTACATCTTATGTGTATTTTACAGCGGGAGGAATGGGTGGAGTCGTCCCCCCAGGAGCGGGAACACTGGCTGAACAAAAGCTGCGGCCATTTCGAGTCGGAGGTCCGGGGCCTGGTTCCGCCCGGGTTCCTGGAGGAGTTCGCGGACAGACTTGATGACGTCGTGACGAGGTGGAACCGCGCGCACGGCAGGCTGTTCGGTCACGTGACGTCCCGTCAGCAGGTCCAGGAGCTGGTCACGTGGGACCTGGAGCAGGCGACAGAACGTGAGTTAAGATGCCACCAGCCTTAGACACTTAACTATGGCTTAGATAAACAATACCGCTTTAACGTAAATCCACAACGGACATAATGTAGCTTTTCGCGCACCCGCGTAACAGCCTTTAGCAGGACACCTGAGCAGAGCAGACAGGGGTGTACACGAAACGTCACGTGACATACGTAGTGACGTCAGTAACCCTGATGAAGGCCGTAGAGTCATATATAAATTCAGTTTTTCTTAATCATCTTTTAAATTTCCTGTGTTGAAGTTACGTTTATTTTATCAGAAACGACACAGAAATGATCTGCCTCATTCTTTTTACTAAATCTGACTTTTTTAGAACGCCGTCAAGCTGACAACGGTCCCCTTCAGAAGTTCCAGTACCTTCTCTTCATCTTCGACACTCTGTTGGGAGATTTTCGTACCGGCATCTTCCTCCCTCTGAGGGACTTCTTCTGGACACAGGACGGCGGCAACACCCATCTTCAACAGGTGGGTCTGTCTAGTCGTTTTAGCAAAAAAAAAACACGCTTCAACAGCCTTCAATACAAGAGAACCTTACACTTTTCGAACAGAATCATCTGCAACTATGCACATATATCCGTCTAAGAGAGACAGTTTTGGTTGGAAATACGATATACATGTCCGTTAATCTGGTCATGGGCCTTTTTAGTCGTTTTAGTGAAAACATCACGCTTCAACAAGGCGCAATACAAAGAACTTTACACACTTTCAAAAAGAGTTTTCAGCAGCAATGCATAGCCGTTAAAATTTAAGAGGCCGTAGTGGTGGGAAATACGACATACGTTAATTGACATCTTCAGCAGGTGGGCTTGTAAAGTCGTTCTAGTAAAAGAAAACAGTCTTCAACAAGGTGCAGTACAAACGAACTTCACACACTTTTCAACCGGAGTTTTCAGCAACAATGCATAGCCGTTTAGAAGAGGCCGTGGTGGTAAGAAATACGATATACGTTAATTGACACTTCTGCGTGTGGTGTTTAGACATACCTGTCTGTCGTTCTACCAGGTCCGCCACGCTCTGGAGCAGTCCGTGTTGGCTTGGCGGCAGCTCCTGCGGCCTGGTCCCGTCAACACTGCCCTGCTCACACGAGCAAGTCAGGAGATCGTGGACGAGGTACGACTGTCGTACAACTCATTTTCAATCTTTTGACAAAATCTACTACGACGTTTAGGTCGTTGATATTTGTATTCATTCTTGGTTATCATTATGGAAAATGCTTGGCAGGTTTACGCCTGCGTTAATAGCTTAATAGCTTTTAACATTCAAAACGCCAGTGCTATGTCGTGCTCCGTTCAAGAAAAGTCGCACTGCTTCACACCGACGTCGACATTGTACTAAACCGCATATGTTTTCTTATGTGATTGTGAGTGCATTATCCATGATTACCCTACATTTCCATGCCATGAGTAAACTGGGTGAAAAAAATTAGAGATCTTCGTCGGTGAGTGACCATCGTGACATTGCATTGTCTTATCGTATGCAGGTTGTGATGACGTATTCCGAAGAGTATGACGTAATATTACGGCTGATTCCGGACATTCACGAGAAGACGTTCGAGTGCCTCCGACTGGCGAGACGGTGGAAAACAGCGTACAAGGCGGGCACTGCAGAGGAGCCCCGAGTCGCCAGAGGGAGCCCTTACGAGGGCCGTTTGTTGAAACGAGGATCCGAACCCGTCAACAGACTGCCAAGGTACACACAATACAGCGACTATTCTTTGAACATATCGTAATAATAATAATATAAAAATATTTATGAACAAACATATGTGCACTGTTTATCTATTTTGAATTCATATCATAATTTAAAAGCTAAAGTTTCTAATACAACTTCTTTCTTCACTAAATCACCAGTGCCATTGGCCAAAGAGATGCGCGGATATCATCCGGCCGTGGCGGCGACTTTGTGCATCCTACCAACGGCAGTCATAGTCGTCAATCCAGCGGCATCGTTCGCACAACCATTGGTAAAATCCAGGAGAAATACGTCGAAGACGAGTACGAGGAATTCATAGAAGAGCTCTCCCGTTCCCGGTCCTCCAGCATAGCGATACCTCAACAGAAGCTAGTCGAAGACGAATACGAAGAATTCATCTTAGAGCAAGAAGGCCGACAGAAACGGTCTCACACGACAAACAGTCTACCCGACGTGCTGGTCAATCTTAACGCCAAGAAGATCCAGCAGCTCAACAGCACTTCATCAAGCAAAAACAACCCGTCTAGCAGGGAGGGTGCACGGACTGTGAGACAGAGTCTACCCAACATTCTGTCAGCGCGCACTGAAAAGGAAGACGAACTCAGTAAAGCCGAGAGAGACGCCGTCTTAAGAAAGATGTGCAGAGAGAAGCGCATCTGTGACCAGATAGCCGCCCAGATGACCGAAGTTAAAGTCAAGTACGACAAACTAAAGGAAAACTCACTGGTACTGGAGAAACAGACCAAACAGTACAAGACAGATTTCGAGTTCATCGAGGCTCACGAGAACTTGGCTAAGGTTCAGGAACAGATGAACAGGGCCATCAAAATTTACAACAGGAAGAAAGAAGTGTACGATCAGGCGAGAAGGAGGTGGGAGGAGTGCAGGAAATGTCTGGATGAGCTGGAAAGGACCGGCAGGCTGGAAAAGGAACTAGAGAAAATGGCAGACAAGAGGCAAGTTCATGGGAAAGTCACAAATGCAAGATCCTGAGGGACGTGTTGACACAAAATCTGACAGTGGTTGGATATTTAATTTCTTAGTCTATCATGGCATATGTTTGCATTGGTACCATGTTAGTAAACTCTTACTAACTCATACTAGACATTTTTGCAATGTCCTGCTGCCTTACAGAAGACTACACTCTTTTTGAGTGACATTCATCGCTTAAATCTTTCTTCTTGTCATAAAATATGTACAAAATCATACTTACTCAAAGCATCCGTCCTCCTTAATAGGAATATGAACTACAATATATATAATATGTACAGGAATCAATGTGATACAAAGAGCTGTAGATGTAATGTAAATGTTATTTATTTCAGAAGTATGCTTTATGCAGCCTACTTTATGTACATACGAGTTTGATGCAAGAAGCTAAATAGATTAAGACATATTCCTTCAAGCTACAGTTGTAAAGTTGCTGCTATGTTGTTTTTGACTCTGGATTATTCTTCAGTGTAAGAAATCCAACCTGCAAAAAGAAACAATATCATTATGTTACTTCATTGTTAGTGAAACTGTATGAAACTACATAAAGCAAGGAACAGCAACATTTAAGAGGGCATTATGTGATAATATTGGCAGCAAACTGAAAATATTCTGGATAGCAAAATGTTAATGAGATAAACAACTACAGCCAGTTTCTAGCATATTCGCATATTATTTCACAAATCAATCTTTTGTGTACAGTACAAATAACCATTCACCTGGTCTTTTGTTACCATCAGAAAATAGAACCTAATAGTATGTTTTGAATGTTCATCTTGTATGTTTGTCAAAACTTAATGAAGATGATTTTAACTCTCTGGTATAAACAACACCACCTTCCACATCATGTAGCTAGGGTATATGTGATGGTGGAATAAACATACAAAGAGCTTTATGTATACATCTTTACTACTAAGATACTTTTGCTGTTGTTTTGTTTGACTCTGCTCCCAATGACATGTTTGTGAGCAAAAAAATGTGCCTTTGCAATAAAACTCGACCTACAGAGTCTAGTAGAGACCATATTCAACATGTTACTTCTAGATTTGTTAGAAAACATGCCCTTACCATAAAGTTGTTCATGCTGCGTAGTGAGACAGGTAGACTCTGTGTGTGACTGACCAGGTGAGACACCAGGTGCAGACAGGTGTCTCTGGGATAGGACAGCAGGCCCACATTCTCATCCTTTTTCCAGCTCTCCAATAACAACCTTTATCATGAGAAATTAAACAAGAAATGCTTTTAGGAAAGGGTGCCAAAATGGGAATAGCTGGTTGGGTGGTGTGAGTAAGATGATGATGTGTGACTCAAATAATTGAGAGTGGGGTGAGTGTGATGACCTTGGTGACTTGAATTGCACTAATGCTATTGTTAGAGGGGAAATTTTGCATTACAGACAGGAAAGCTTCACACGCCTGACACACAGAACGGGCATCACAATGAGCCTCATCCCTAATATAAAACCATCAAACACCAAACCACCCAACCGTCAAATGTGATACTCAGTGCAAAACCGGGAGGCTTGTAGCAAAAACAGAATCAAATATGAACATCTCTGATGTACCTTTTGTTTGATTTTCGATTACAAAAATGTAGTAGAATATCTTACTTATTGACACCGTCCCGTGGGAGTGGCAGGTAGAGGATCTTGAGAATATCCCGGGAGGAGACAGAACCTTGTGTAGAGATGGTCATCAGTCGAGTCTCTGACTTCAACAGCCACATCTGGATATGGAATAACAGACACGCTAAAGTTATACGGAAATCTAATTCAATTTAACAATTATCATGGAACATATACATTTACCAAAGCCTAAAAATATGACAAAAATAAACAAATAGACAAATACAGTATATTGTAGATGTCATTTCCATCCATTTTTCAACACTACAAGTACAACTTATGGTTGAGCAAACCCATGTACAAGGGGGCCACAGACATAAAATATATACAATCATGTACATGTAAAGGACTTAACACACTTGTCAACAAGTGTGGTAGGGGGATAGAAAAGGTGGCTTTTAAGTTTGTTATGGGCACACAGATTGAAAATCTGTTATCATTTTTGGTGGGGGTCACTGGAAAAACAGCCAATATAAATGATAATACATGTATTTCAAGATTAACAGTTTTACTCACCAAAAGATAGACGTCTGCCCTAAGGTCCTGTACCACAAACCTCAGGCAGTATTGTGACTCCGACTCCTTAAGAAGTTGTTGTGCCAAGACACTGTCCTGTCCAGGTGAGGCGTGGCCAGGTGTTACAGGTGAGCATGTGGAGCCTTCCTCATGTACCGTGATGTTAGACAGGTACAGTTTGATAGCACATGGAGGCTCGGGTGTAGCCTGTGCTGGGGTCTTCTTTTTACCTGAAAAGTTTAAAATTACAACATGAAGGAATGGATTTACATTCCACAGAATCATGGCTCAATTTATTGGCACCGTATCTTAAGATAATCCAGTACTGACCTGTAGTGACCCCTATCCCCACCTGACTTCTACATCGTTTGCATCTGACCAGGGGGACCAGTACCTGTGGAAGAAATTTTTAAAAAAGAAGTCTGTTAAGTAGTTACCGTTATTGCATGACTCTGGTTGCCATGATCATTATTATGTAAATTTGTCCAAACAGCAAATGGCAACACTCCAGAGGTGTCGCCAAAAATGATTGTACACAAACCATTTTGTCCTCTGAATCAACAACATCCACGTTGTCACTATGAATGGCCTTTGCGTGTACCAGTACATGCCCGGTACCGGTCAGGATGTCCGCAGGTCTGGGCGCGAGAGTCTGGGCGGCCATGTTCTGCGTGTCCTGACTCTTGTGACAGAAACTGTGTGCGACCGCCTCCTGCCAGCCGTCTGAGGGGAGGGGCAGCACTCTCTTGGCACAGCTGGGGGACGGGGCAGAAATACAGAATAAGTCTGAGAGGACGGCAACACTCTACATTTGGTGTTTCTAATTCTAGAACTTAGTAGAAGTCAATGAAATCCATCAATCAAAGGTAGAGTTAACCTTATCACTCCTGGCACAATAAGTAACAAATACAAAGTTTAATATTTTAAAGACAAAATCACAATGTTGGAAGGAATATGGTATTACAAGGATGGTTTCAGCAGTTGGTGTCCACACATGGCACAGCACATTCTGGTGTGCCCAGGTTTGATATCTGGTCCATTCTCCTCTCCTCTTCCATCCTCCTCCTTCTCTTTTTGTTCTTCTGCCTCTTCCTCTACTACTGATAGCCTCAGATGAAGTCCATCTCCTTCTAACCACTTCAGTCCACTGCAGGACTTTGGACGGACACGGAAGCCGTCTGGAAAGCGATAGACAGATTCGCCCTTTCCAGATTGGACCGCCACTTTGTCTGGGTGAACGACGACTGGTAGACTGGACAAGACAAAAAGATGAATATCTAATTAGTTCCCGTTTCAAAGTTCCTTGGTTCCTGTAGTTAGCAAAAATTTCCTGTGACTACTACATAATTTTCTTTCATAAACTGATGATAAAGAGACTTGGAGACTGACCCAGTGGCTTAAAATGCCAACACAGACTATCAAAACTCATGGTTATATTGCAAACTAAGACAGGCTTTTATACACATCAAACCTGAGACGAGTTATGAAAGCCAAAAATGCACAACAATGCAGGCCATAACATTATGTACACCCCCCCCCCCACACACACAGAGCCTCAGCCAAACACACACATTTAGCAACACCAAAAGTTATATATCGTGAAACCTGGACAAAACTAGGAAACACACCTCTTGCTGTCTTTTACAGCTTCTACAGGCAATACAAAATGCGCAGCTCCAACTTGCTTCTGGATTTCAACAAACATTGTCTTTCCTTCCATACCGGTACACCATGTGCTCACATCTACATCAAAACATCATTAGGCTGCCTAATGTACACACAGTTACGCCTGTAAATGTCTCCTCAAAAATTCAAAATCTGGATCATTACTTGCGAGTTAAAACCGTAAAAAGTATTAAAATATCTATTTCCTTAAGTAATAGATTATATATGTTGCAGTCAATTTTTTGGATAGTCACGAATTGACATTTGAACGATTTTATATTGACTCAGGCATTGAAAAGTTGACAACGGCCACCTTTTTGAAAGAAAGGACAAAGTTCACCAACAACATGGCGGCCGTTGACCGATTTTCCTTCCTTGCAGCCGAAATTTCCAAGACTATCAACTACTACAATGATATTCTGGCGATTTTAGGGGCTGTGTATGTCGGCAAGAAGGTTCTCGACTTGGTCCTGGGTTTTCTGGGCGGTACACGCGTGCATTTCATCTCTAGGATCGCCAAGCCGGACTTGACGAAGCGGTATGGGCCGTGGGCTGTCGTAACAGGTGGCTATATTCAAAATGCTAGATATGTTAGCATGTTTTTCATGTGTCATCTGATCAATTCCTTCTAAATGTGGTTATGTCTTCTGTCCGTATGTATGTGTCTGTCTGCCTGTCTGTCATTGTTTTCTGCAGTGTACTTTCTGTAAAGTCTGCCAGAGGGCGCTTACCTTTAAGGGTGTGTACCTTCAAGTGATTTTTGTTTCCTCCTTTCACAGCTTCCAATCATAAATGTTTGGAAAGAAAAAAATACACTTAACAATTTTTAGGAATAAAACAAATACATTGAACCATTTTTTATTATTATTATTATTATTTTACCGTCTGTCTGTTTTTTCCAGGTTGTACGGATGGCATTGGGAAGGCGTACGCTCAGGAACTGGCCAGCCGTGGTCTCAACATCGTTCTCATCAGCAGGAACCAGACCAAACTGGAGAACACCGCACACACCATCGAGTCTCTGTTTGGTGTGGAGACAGCTGTCATTCAGGTATGGAGTTGATGTTATTGTTAGTATCTCATCATTTGTGCTTAGCATTAACTATTTTTAGCTCCCAAGTCTCTTTCGTCCTCTCTGCAAATGAGGAGAGAGACTCGGCAGCTAAAATAGGTTTCATGATCATGCTACATTTGTGCTTCATTCCATTCTTCTTTGTTAACTTTTTTCTAACCCTTCAGCTTTAGTGAACTAATGCTTCTTTTGCAGGGATCAGGATACTTTTCTCTGTTTCCTGACCATTGCAAATTGTTTGGAAACGGGGATGACATGGGGGAATTCATGAAGCTGAGGAAGGCTCCCTGGGAGTGAAATCTCCAATGTCATGTTGTTTTGTTTGTTTGCTTGTTTGTTTTATGGACTGATTCTATCCAAATATTCCCCTCCCCAGGCTGACTTCAGTAAAGGTAGAGAAATCTACGTTGGAATTGCGGAGACTCTCCGCGGGAAGGACGTGGGAATCCTGGTCAACAACGTGGGGCTGATGTACGACCATCCGCAGTTCTTCCTGGAGGTCCCCGAGAACAGGCTGTGGGACATCGTTAACGTCAACGTGGCAACGGTAACTATGGCAACAGTACAACGACAGTGGCATGAGAGGAACATACTCAGATTGCTCCTTCTAAGAAGAATAACATCTTGTTCATTCAAAATCATTGTATAAACTAGAAAGCAAATGCATGATGTTTACCTTCGCATATGGTCTGCTCTGTTAACTGTAACAAATTCATATATATGGTTACAGGAGTCTAAATCTCTCTTGCTTTATTGCAACATGATGTAACCCAACACTAGTTACCATAGTGACAGGCATCTGGTTCAGGTCATTGTAGGTTCCTTTTGCAAAGGTAAACACAAAAACGTAAGCTAGCCCATGGGCATGACGAAATGCGTTCTTTTCAATGATTACAGTCTGCAGAAACTTAAACCGATTTACACTATTAACACAGAAATCTGTATGTTGTATTTTCCAGGTGACGATGATGACACACCTGGTTTTACCAGGGATGGTAGAGCGGAAACGTGGGGCTGTGGTGAACATCGCTTCTGCCTCCAGCTTAAGGCCCACACCTCTGATGACAGCTTACTCTGCTACTAAGGTAGCATTCTACTTATACATGTCTATCAAGTAGATGAAAGAAACAGACTAAGCTCCGTGTGTGGAGGTTTTGTTTTTGTGTTTGCCTGTGTGTACGTAGTTAGGGGGAATGGTGCATTTGTTTTCAACCATCTAGCATGGCAGGTAATACTGATGCCTTAGTCATGTGAGACTCAGAGTGCAAACACAATATTCTTACACAAATTCTTTTCATCGTTTAACCTTTCACCTGGACTGTACCATATGAAGCATACAGGGGTGATGTGGTGTAATCACCTTTCTGTCCCTCCCTCCAGGCGTATGTTGCACACTTCAGCCAGGCCCTACAGTACGAGTACAAAGACGCGGGCATCACCGTACAGTGCCTCACGCCGTACTACGTCGCCACCAACATGACCGCGTACAGCGACATCATCCACAATCCCAGCGTCATCATCCCGTCAGCCACCGGTTACGCCAGGGCCGCCCTGTCCACACTGGGGGTCTCCACTAGAACTACAGGGTACTGGCCTCACACTATTGCACAGGTTAGATTCACTTAATTATAATCCTTTTATTTTAGTTTATTTTAAACAGCACAATACTATAACAGCACAATGATACAGTAAATACACGACGCCATCACTTTGCAGCCATTAAGGCTGAATTGTGTGATTTAAAGCAATTAACAATACTTTTTGAAGATTTCTACAGAACCACCCAGGTTGTCTTTAGAAAGATTGTTTTATATATGTTACAGAAAACTCATTTTAAGGTTTTTGATGCAATAGCATGTCTTAGGGTGGAAAATTAACCATGTTCTAAGGATGAAATCTGCAAAATTCCTTCCCTTCAGGGTCACCTCTCTATTGCAAAGTCATGATGCTGCAGATATGCATTTCATTGTGCAAATAAATAAACAAACAAACAAACATTGAATTACTACTGTACAACACAACAGAATTTTAGAATGAACAACTTTTTCTTCCTCTCCCACTGCAGTGGTTTGCAACGAGGCTGTTCTCAGAGGACTTCTATGTTTGGGTGGCTTACCGGTTCAACAGTGCTCTCAGACGACAAGTCATGGAAAAGAAACAGAGAAAACTGAAGTCCAAGTGATGTTTGTTGTGTCAACGTCAATCAAGCAAACATTGCAGTGGTAAAAACATATTGTTTCCATACCGTATACTAGTATGGCATTTTCCTCACACAGATGTTGTGTTTATAACTACTATGAATTATCATCTGACTGGAAACGATTTACATACCTATAGTCAACAAGTTACAATAGATTTATCCCAGTTTACAAAAATAAATGATAGCTGTAAACCTAAGGCTTACTGTCTGATGCAAATAGATATGCTTGTTTTTTATGCAATACAATGTATTTCCACAGGTTGTAACAAAATAGAATAATTGAAATTTCTAGTCACTTTTCACCAAAGAATTTTTTTTAATGTTTAGTACAGGAAATATGGTATACCTTTTGTTGCTCTGAAAACAATGCTGCTACTGTTTTGGTTTATACAATAAGGTTATGTTGTATGAACATTTATGCATTTAAAAACTGTTCTGATATTTCAGGACACTTTGTATAATTTTCTATGTACATGTGTATGTGTCTGTATATGTGTTGTGATGCCTCAAATCACTTGTGTTGCTTGGTTATTTTGCATAGTCAAGATGAGTGTAATAAAAACACTTTGTAATACATGTACTTCTGATGAACATGCCCATTTATACATTTAAAAGAGTAGCGAAATTTGTGGTATGATACAAGGAATTTGCCAAGACATTAGTATTCTTAAAACTAAGGTGTTCATAAATTTATGAAAGACTATAATTTGGATTTATAAAAGTTTATTTTCATCAATTTTAGCTATTAATTGCAAATATAATTGCAAACACAATCACAAAATTCATTGCCCTTGTATTTCCCATTTACAACCCACAGAAATAGATCCTACCAATCCATTAGATGAAATGTGCATCTACTGGTCCTTTTGACCTACAAAAGCACTTCTTACACATCCATATACGTCAAGCATGCCAGTGTGAACTTGGGGTAAGAGAGGTTATATTAGAAAGACTTCATCAGCCATCTCACAACCAAAAGTGAGGACTTACGGACTAGAACTTTCAAGCACATGGGACATGTGTTCAAGCATCTGTAGAAACTTTCATTCTTGTAATTAGTGTATACGTAATAAGAATCTATAGATATCCTCATTTGCTTTGCATAGTAAGTTTTATGTAAAGAGAAGAAAAGAAATTGAAAGAAAAAGAGAAGTCAGCACACAACAGTGTTGAATTGCAGTCGCTGCAAAGTTACGTGTGACAGAACATCTTGTCCTACATGAAGAGAGGAGGACCCATCAACTTGTCTGGAAAACGATGTTGAGTAGCCCAGCCATAATGGACGTACGCTTGAGTGGGTTATGAAAATGACTCTGAAGTGTTTTAATGCAGCGCCTTGTGTAGAAGTGTGCTTGTGTGATTTTTTTGAGAATTTCTGAACTTCAGAATCATCTCTAGTGACGTGGATGCGACACTGAAGTACTTGTTGAGTCAATACAAGAGCTGTTCGGCGGTTTTAGGTTGAAGTATTTTTTTAGATGTTGAGTTAGCCTGGTTTGCCCTTTCTCGCTAAGTGACAGCAAGAGAATTTTTAAACCCCGTGAATGGTGTATTGTTTTAGTAGTAGTGTGTCTTTTTGGGCCGTGACATAGGTATGGGATATCCTAGCGGCCCGTTCGGAACTACAGTGGCCTTTTTGTCGGAAACATTGGAGAAGAGGATGAGTCAAGAAAGTATCAATAAACAGCATGCATAGTTTACCAAATCTAGGAACAGAAACAAAGAGTAATTGTAACATGTTGCAAACACACCATTTGATGGTACTAGTAATTCTACATACGGAAATTAGATACTATGCTATATTGACCTAAAATTAACCAAAGTTAGCTTTGTCAGGTTTGATATCTTCTATCAGCGCAGTGAAAGTTGAATCTACTCAGTACGATACATGATGTGAGGGTCCTTCCAAAATATTTAACGAAAAACATGTATTTCAGCACCAAGGACAGCGTCTGCACTATACACAATGTTGTAGACAATGCTGCACTAACAATGTATTTTCGTAGTTTGGGTGTACCGCTGTAGAAAATCAATGAAAGCCTCGGAACTACACATTATAATTGGCCAATAGTGACGGCTGAAGAGGATATAGTCGCTTTTCAAACATTTGAAACGATGATGACGAGAAACCGCGAACTGGTTTCCACCGGCCCAAACCGTATAAATCCGCCACACCAGGGGAAGCCCGGTATTGTGTGCGCGCCGGGGCACCTTCAGCTGCCTGCCTGTCTCCTCCTGAATGCACCGCTCTGCTCCGCTGTCCCCGCTCGGCCCGAGTCCGTCCTGTCTCCCGAGAACCTCCGCCTGACGACCCGCGGTGACCTCTGCCAGGGGATTTTCCACGGCGAGCGCCTGACGCCAGTCCGCGACTCACACGCTGACCAGCGCTGATCCTCACCCCATCTCTCGGTAGTCAGGTTGGTGCCGATTTTATTGGATTTTAACCGTAAATCCTTTCGTTTGTGTCAGATGACGGCCTATTTACAGAGCACACATCTCCGCATCTTTGAAGAGACCGCGGAGAGGTGAGCTGTGAGCGTGGAAACGGAGAGAGATCCCCTCCCACTGCGCGTTTACCGTAAAAACCGCCGTGTACAGGTCGTCTCAGTAAGGAAAACTGGAGCATATTCTAATCACAAAAAGCATCTGAAACACCAAACGACATGTTGCGGCGTACACATATCGCTGCGAAATCTTTCCTCACTCACACTACTGCCAACATTTTAAAATCTCTTGATGTCATTGTAGTTCATTTCGTAATTTTTTTCAGGGCGAGTATGAAAGAATAGGGAGCAAATAGCAAAGATGTTAAGAAGATAGATACAAATTAACATAAGCATCCTTGCCATTCAAACACGACTGTTTGAAAAAGAAGCGTGTCTAACACACAGCGCAGCATCAAACCGCTGTTTCCGCCATAATGCCTTTCCCTCAGCCGATTAATCAGACGATCTACCCCTTGAAGGACGAATACGCACTTCGGTTGCTAAGCAACGATCTGCTCGTCCCAGGGAATTGCTAACTGCGGGGAATGCGGACAGAAAAAAAGCAACAAGGCTTAGCTCCTCGTAAAAATGAGCTCATCAATCTTTCCCTAGATTTTGATAGAATTAGTCTGTGGCGCAATACGTATTATTTGGCCGGGTGTATGTATAGAATTCAGATAATACATGCTATGGTGAGAATAAGATAACACCAAGAATGTGACGTGTTTTACCGTAGTAGATGTTTGGAATCTGACGTGCAATGATTTATTGTCATGTCAGTACTGTACATGAAAGACACATGAATGACAAGGATCTTCAAAGCATCTAAAGCATCTAATGTAACTGGCATCTGAATACTCCAGACGAAATGGTTAGGGAATGACTATGACAAAATAAAGATTTACTGGTGTTTAAACAAGAACTAGTGGGGTTTGAATATAACAAGCGCTCAAACCTTCAAAAATCGATGAAACGAAAAAGAAAAGCCACATTGAATTTCTGCGTGCCAATCTTCAAGGCAGGACAAAGTAACCATTGGAACACATTTTTACAGATTTGGGCAAAATAAAATGCTCATAATAGACACGATACCTTCTTTTGCGCTATAATATATAAAAAGTCGCATTTACCCTGGGATAATACTAAATGGAGTTTTGGCTATAGATAAGGACAAATTACAAAAAAAGTAAATGGCTTGTCGTGCTGCGTGTCACACAATACGATTAAATTATGAAAAGCAAGTGTATTTTGTCGTCAAGTGTTTTGGCCGTCTGGTTTTGACAAGTACGACAGAAATGCTT